CAGCTGAATACATGCACTTTACTATTCACTGGTTCCACCTCAGGAATCACTCACTGAGTACACCCTAATTGCGCGTTTTAAAACAGCAATCTTTCTTCACCATCGTATGAGACAGTTTGAGTTAGTTACTATACCACTTAGGTCGAAGATATTAGCACCCACTTTAGCTCAGTCCTTTTGGTCACAGCGTCTACAATACAAAGCAATACCTGTAAAATTGTCCCGTGTTCACACAGCCCAATCTTATTTACAACAAAAGCAGACAACAACTGTTAACTTGCTTATATCCTCCAACTGTATGCAGCCTCCCTGTTGGTCGGTCTGCAATGCCCCCTGAAGGACTAAACGGCCGAACCGCAGCGAAGCTCCACTTCAAATGCAAACATGCGAATAACCCAGTAGGGTAATGATGAGTGCTAAAGCAGTACAACACAACATTAACAACACATTTTTTTGCATTTTTAACACTTATACTTGTTCAGCAGAGAAGCTTTTGAATCGTTTGTCAGTATGAGTTTCAATCCTAGTAAATTCCTATGCATAGAACACATACGGGTCCATCACTAGAATACCAGGAAATCTTTTGGGCTGTGCATTAGACATTTCTGCCAAAAATAATGTTCCGAATAATAATTATTACCAAAGTGCTGTGAGGTGTGAAAGTGCCCCTTAAAACCTTTACTATTTTATGTTCTCAATTTGTTTAAGTGAGTGACCTAGTGCCTATTGCTCACCCATGAGCACATTGAGCATTTGCTTTTAAATTCCTATCGTAAGTTGTGCTGGTTGTTAATGTCGTTTCAGGTGAATGTTTGTCCACAAACATGATGGTTAAGAAGACAAAAGAAAAGGTTCTGCATATATTCGATTAGTGTGGTGGAAACGAGAGCGATGAGGACCGAACAGTGCGGCATGAACTAGGCAAGTGTAGTAATAATAGGATTCATTTGTTAATGTTTATTGATATATGCTTGTATTAGTGAAATGAAGCGTGCGTCAAAGTGTGTGTGGGTAAGTATGTACTAGCATTAGGGAAAAGGAGATTGCACCTAGGATTTTTGTGGATGTGCCTTGTATTAGTGAATATGTATGCACGCGTGTTAGTGCGCGTGAATGTATTTACATTACTGAAATGGATTATTTGCCTCTGTATACATGCACATGTTGATATGTTATTTGTACCAGTAAGGTGGGTTATATATCACCTTGGTTTGTGTGAACGTATTTTGCACAGGTGAAATGATGTACGTAACTGCGTCGGCACGTGTGGAGTGAACACGTTTGTTGTCGTTTGTGGGTGTGTTTTCGCGTTAATAAAAATGGACATCTACCTATGTTGGTTAGCGTAGATGGGATTTTGTTTTGTATCGTCAAGTATGTACCCCTGCTGTTATGCGTGGATGCATTCTTGCATTGTTGAAGTTGATTGTGTGCCTCTCTTCTGTGTGAAGATGTACTTTCGTATTATTTAAATGGGGTGCTTGCCTGTGTAGCCATTTGTGGATTTGTTTTTATGGTTGTTATTAAAATGCATACTCAGGTTCTTTAGCATTGTATTAATTTCAAACTAGTTAAATGAAACACCTATATTTGTATCTAACTATGGTTTTGTATTTGTGGAGTGAGGCATATTATGCCTTGTACGTGGCTGTATTTTTGCGCTAGTGAAATGGGGTATGTGCCAATGTAATACATACCACTATCGGTATTCGTGGATGCATTTTTGCATTGACGAAGTGTTGTTGATGCCAATTTTTGTACGAAATGTCCCATATGAATCTAGTTGTGTTTGTGGATACTTAGTGTATTAGATGAATGGGATTTATTCCCGTGATTGTATGCGTGGGTGTGTTCTTGAATTTGTGAAAGGGTTTATATTGCCAATGTTGTACGTGAGCCCTCTTCAAGTCAATTTACCAACTTATTTTAGTTTGTGTAGGTGGGTAGTTTAGTGCTTATTTGTCGTCCAAATGTACGTCGACCATTTGCTCTCGCGGTTCCATTGTAAGTTTTATTGATTGTTAGAAATTTCTAGGTACATATCTGCCTGCGTAATTGACGGAGAAGTTGAAGTGGGACGTTTTGGATGAATCAGATGGTTGTGGAGGAGACAAGAGTGCCAAAGACAGAATAGTGCAGCGTCGCGTAAACAAGTATTACTTTCTTAAGTTCCCATCTTTGTACGTATTGGTGCATAAAATTTTGCAATCGTTTGGAACTAACTGATGTTTTTTTTGGTTAAAAATGTTTCTGCTGTTCACATAACCACTTGCCAAAAGCTTAATTCCACAACGTGTTACCATGTCTGACTACTGTGAATGAATAGTTCACTTTTTGCCACAGGTAGGTATTATGCAGCATCGTAAAGTTGCTGTTTTTCCGACGAGCTTGGGAGGTATTGTGATCACTCGGTGAGTAACTAGGTGTAGAGAACAGCAGCTCTACTTAGGCAGCTGTCATAGCGATAGCAGTGGAGTAAATGTTTGCTATGAAGAAACTCGTTTGAAATGATACGAGTCATAGTTCTAGAGCGTCAGTTCTAGCAGTTTCTTACTGCTTGTCCTATGCAGTGGTTGAATACGGAAAACGCACTAATTGTGTGATCAAGAAGGTGTTAAGTAGTGCTCCCTGTGGGCATTTCTAGCTCTTTCAGCTGTGCGCTTTTCGTTGGGGGTGGTTTTTCTACTGAGTACGTGGCACTTACTCATGCAGTGTAAAAGCTCAGTGAATTGTAGACTTGTTGGTGCTTTCGCTTAAACGGGAGGTTAGGAGGCGTTGTGGAGAACTCGGTCGCTTTCGAGTCGCAGTTCCAATTGAATACCTTCAATTTGGTGACCAAAGGCATTGCGTTTAAGAGCGTTAATTGAAGTGCCGTTGGTGCTTCTGGGTAGTGGTTGGAGCACGAATTGTTAGCACATTTGGTGGGCTAACGACAAAGTGCATTTGGCAGTAGTGGGCGAGGATGGGGAGAAAAGGAAGGAAGGGGGAGGGAAGTATGTGGCGTGAGCACAGGGGTATTCCGCTAAAGCCTTTTGTGCGAGTATTTGCGGGACTTGCGTTGGAAGCAGGAAGTTGAGTGGTCCGTTGTGATTGCTTTTGTACGATCTAATGCTCATGGAAGGTGCTGCCAGTTGAGTCATTCTTGGATGTAAATATAAGTGCAAATCTGAAGGCGTTGCGAGAATTTGCGTGGCGTGTGAGGGCAACATAGCGGGAGGCAGCTGGTTGAATACTCACTGAATGTTTGGGCACTTTGAGTGAATGACATTCCTGCTACCAGTTGCAGGTGTTTGGCAGTGTAAAC